CACACTCACTCTCTCTCACACACACACACACACTCTCACACACACTCATACACACACTCACACTCTCTCTCACTCTCACACACACTCATACACTCACACACTCACACACTCTCTCACACACACACTCATACACACACTCACAGTGATGTATCATTTGCTTACATTGCTTACCTCTCCTCTTCTCTCAGTTTAAAACATCTATTCCTAAAATCAAACCTGTTGGACGATTGAGAATCAAGCAGCAATGTACAAGGTGACGTTTAATGCGTCTTACGCATCGTATTTCATACTTTAGCTGCATCTGTCGATGGCGCTGACTTCTCTCTTTGTACCTCGACAGTATTAAGAAGTTGAAGTCTAAAAATGAACGAAAGCTTTGGCGGAAACAACACAAGTTGGCGACACGTTCTGCCTGTCAAGAGAGAAAGGAAGTATCGGCTGCGGACGCCTCTAAAGACCCGACGGCAGAGAGAGGTATCCAAATACATATCATTATAATAATGCTTATGAAGTTAGGACTTTTCAAGGCTAGGGTGCAGAGTTTAGTAGAGACACTATGACATGTTCCCTACTAATATCAGCCACTGCTAAATTATCCCTAGCAATAATTTTGATCAAACAATTAAATATCTGTTGTCTGCCGTTACGTCTCCACCAATGCCACAATCAAACCTCCACCCGTGATTCAAGGTCTAGAAATCACACTTTCAAAATGAGACACAAACGGTTAGCTTTGAAACAAGCGAGTAAATGACAGAAGTTTCATTTTTGGATGAACTATATTGCTTATTTTGTTTTATTTAAGTTATTTTAAGTAATTTCTGAGGCCCTCTGGTGGGACCCCTGGATGAGAACCGCTGTTAATAACACTGTATCTCTGTTCTTATCGTTCCTGCAGAGACACCCAGAGACTGTATTTATGTGGACCGTGTTTTACATCAAATTCATGATAACAAAGGACTTTTTAAAGAAGAGTCAGTGAATATTTCTTGCTTTTTGGTGCATCTGCGGCCGTGGCTGGATTTATTTGAGAGTAAAGGACATGAGAGCGTGTTAAACAGCCGTAGAGACCCTGGACCTCTGTGGGAGCTGGTGGATCTTCTGCTGGAGTCCAGAAACCGGGTCTGGGCTCGAGTCTTCATCGAAACGCTTGGCCTGACGCTTCATATCAAACCCAAACTGCAGCAGTGGGCTCAGCAGCTCGATAACGCTGGTGCGTTTCATTCACACAGCTGTTCACTTCCACATCTTCTGACTAAACGTCTCTGTTTTCAGAAATCTGAATATTGTGTACAAGTGTCCATCATTAATCAGTCTGATGTGTGTCTCCTCCGTCAGGTCTGAAAGCCGCGGAGTCGTTCGTCAGTCGTTACAGCTCTCATCTGGAGGAGTTGTACCTGAAGCCTCTGCTCACGTTCGCACCGCTGCAGGAGACACTCATCGAGAAGTTCGGCACCGTTCCGGAGTTATTTGACCGTGACGGTTTAACTGTAATGGAGTACTTAAGACAGGCTCCAGCTAAAGAAAAGCGTCTGTTTATTTGGACTCTAGAGTCGAATCGAGAGCGCTATCACTCCTGTCACTCCATTCTCGATCAATATTTTGAAGACGGTATGTAAATCAGAACAAGTGTTTTATATGTGAAGGGAATTTTCAAATAAATTATTGTGTTTCTGTGTCTTTAGACGCTGTTTGTTTAGTCATTAAAAAGACGGATGATGACGAGCACATGGTAAGAGACACGTTCTGAAGCGTTCATTCTGAAGTGCTTAGTCTGAGTTTGAGTAGATGACTCTTTCTGTGTGTGTGTGTGTGTTTCAGAGCTCAGTGTTTAAGAGTAAAAGCAGGCATAGCAAGAAGAAGCAGAAGGAGTTAAAGGTGAGCGTGGTCAGTGCCGCGGCACAGGATCCCGGCGTGCTTGATGCTCATCTGTGTGTCTGTGTGTTTCAGTCTGTTATTGTGCTGTCTGGAATGAGAGGTGGACATCCGAGGGATGAGGATGAGGAAGATGAGCTGTTCTCTGAGGAAGATGCTTTGTGAGTTCAGAGCCGTTGCGTGTCACATACGTGAAGCGGGTCAGTTTCAGTGACGTTGTGCGTGTGATGTTCCAGGATGTTCCTGAGCAGCATGGATCCGTTCAGCGTTCCCGAACACCTGCGAGAGCAGCTGGAGGAGTTTGAGGAGCAGTACGCCGGATCAGCACACCGGAGCCACTACCAGAGAATCCTGGACAATAACCCCGACCCCACTAAAGAGAGTTTATACGAGTACGTCTCACCTGTGCTTCTGCTCTCCGCATGATTGTGACCGGTGTTGGGGTAATGCATTACAAGTAGCGCGAGATACGTAATCAGAAACAAGTAAATATAGTTAGTTTTTTTATATAAGTATCAGCAGTTTCCCATGTATTGACTGACAGCTCTCCTGTGCTCATGTTGAGAGGATCAGGAGTGAGTGCAGATGCGCTGTGTGAACATGATGCTACTGTAGATCTAGAACAGGGATGGGCAACTTTAATAGTAACAAAGCATTTTTTCTCCTTTCTGCCAAGCGGCCAGATTACTAATCCACGTCCACACACCTTTTACACCGTCTTACTCCATTTCCTTTTTATTGAAGGAAATTAAAGTATAACTAATGTAATTTGTTTTTAAAGATTTTATTAACTATAAAACTTATGCAGTTATGCTAATTCAGAAGGAAAACTTTGTTGTCAGTGGACAGAAATATTCCCCTGACAAGCCAATGTAAACATCTCTGTAAATCTGCAACAAACAAATATACAGAGGTCCTTTTTTTATTAGTGGCCTACAGAACATTCTCAAAACAACATAAGAGGACAGTTAAAAAGGGCTCATTCAAAAAAACAAAGTTATTCTAAATGGTACCATAAAATAACCTGGTATCTGCAGGATGTTTAAAATCAAATTTAAGACCTTTAAAGACCTTTTTAAGATCTGCACTTCACATTTCAGCCTTTAAACAATTTTTAAGAAAAGGGATGAGTCAAAAGTATCAGTTATTATATTAATTTAAACAATTATTATCAATTATTATATTAAATAACATAAATATATCTTAGTGTCTTAATTGTTTAGATTTTTATAATGCATTAGCTTTTTTGTCGATCCGCTGGTTCACATTTAAAAATATGTAGCAGAAATAGCAGAAGGGCTTATTGAAAAAGCAGATTCGTTCTCTGCCAGCAGGAGGCGCTTTCAGAACGGCAGAAATACAGTGGTTTCCCCGGTAACCGCAGTACACAAAGCTGACTGCAGTGCTCAAGTTTATTCAGTGAAATCATAGCCTTTTGAAGTTTAATCGTCATATTAATCCATATAGCAATTCTTGTCTTTCCGTCCCCAAAGACCTCTTATAATTTAGACTTTTTGTACCATTTAAGAGTCTTCTTGGCCTTAAATGTAAACAATTTAACTGAAGATGTTTTAAGGACCTGCAGAAAGTATGCCTACTACTTCCAG